TCGGGCCGGCACCCGGCCCGGCTCCCGGGCCGGACGCCCGGGTCGGCGCCCGAGCCGGCGCCCGGGCGCCGGAAAATCGAGTTCCGAGGCGGCGCCGAAAAAAGGCCATTCCAACACACATTTTTCTTTCGAGAATGCTGAATTTCTGCTTCCGGCGCCCGGGAGGCCGTCCGGGCCGATTCCGGAGCTCGGGCCGGCACCCGGCCCGGCCGGCACCCGGCCCGGCTCCCGGGCCGGACGCCCGGGCAGTTCCGATCGCGCCGAAAAGAGGCCATTCCAATACACATTTTTCTTTCGAAAATGCTGAATTTCTGCTTGCGGCGCCCGGGAAGCCGTCCTGGGCCGATTCTGGAGCGGCTTTGGTCCGGACGCCCGAGCCAGCGCCCGTACGTGGTGCTTCTCTGCTTCTGGCGCCTGCGCAGCTTCCCGAGCCGCTTCTGGAACCATATCTGGGCCGGTCCAGCGATAGGTTTCCTGGATGTGCTGAACCATCCAACTTTTTGAGACTTCTGCGTCTCAAGGATAGGGAGAGAAGACATTAAAGGAGGATCAAAAAGCAACGTCGCTATGAACGCTTGGCTGCCACAAGCCAGTTCTACTTACTTGGACTACTACTACCGTTACCACTACTACTAGTGCTACAGCCGCAACAACAATATCATCAACTGCTGCTACTACAACTACTCATCCTTCCTCCCCCTCCTCCCCCTCCCTTCTCCTCCTCCCCCTCCCTATCTCTCTCATCTCCCCCTCCTCTTCCTCTTCCTCTCCCTCTGAGATGCGGGGCATGCGCAAGGCGATTGCGAAGGCGATGTGCCGTCCGAGCTATGGATGTTGAAGTTCCTCGGAAGAGGTGGTGGCCAAACCTTCTTGGGCGGGATATCTGGGTGAGGGAATATCGGATCCCGCATGCCAGAAAAATCCCCCATGATGGGGTGTGTTATCCAGATGGATGCATGTGTCATGTGGAAGCATGGCGCATGAGGGTAAACTGATTGTTGTTGTTGTTGTTGACCTCTCAGGTCTGAAGAATAATGATTGTTGATCCCCCCTCACTGGTGCATACTGTTTTTTCAATCAAAGTGTGCCCCTCGACGCTCGCACCCTGTTCTTTGACAGGGAAAGCCTTGGTGCTCAAACTGTGCCCCTGGCCCCCCCGGACTACAACAACAACGGCTCCCGTCTGAGACTTCCTCCAAATTTATTCAGGACCCCCGCCCCTGAGACTTCCTCACAATTTACTGAGGATCGGCGCTCCCGCTTGTGACGTCCTCGCAATTTAGTTAGGGCCCCCGCTCCCATCTGAGACTTTCTCACAATTTGCTCAGGAACGGCGCTCCAGCTTGAAACTTCCTCGCAATTGAATCAAGACTTCCTCGCAATTTAATCAAGACCCCCGCTCCCGCCAGAGAACCCTTCACATTTTATTCAGGAATTGCGCTCTCGCCTGTGACGTCCATGCAATGTATTCATGAATCGCGCAATCGACGCTCAGGAAACACGCTGCGCCAAGGACGCCGTTACAATTTACTTGGTAATCGCGCTCTCGCCATACTCAGGCATCCCGCTTGAATGTCCCACCCGCCCGACCCGCCCGTCAGGGGATCGCCCGCCCGTCGTGGGCTCCCGCCCGAGACTTCCTTCAGGAACGGCGCTACTTCCTCGAACGTTCACGCTCTTACCTTCCTGCTGCTCCTCCCTCTCCCTCCTCCCTCCATCCTCTCCTCCCTTCTCTCTCCCTCCACTCTTCCCTTATCCTTATGCCTCTCTGCCCTATCCCCTCTCCCTCCTCCCTCTCCTGCCTCCTCTCTCTCTCTCTTTTTTTTTTGTTTTTGTTTTCTCTCTCTCTCTCTCTCTCTCTCCCCTCTCCCTCTCTCTTTCTCTACCTCTCCTATCTGTCTTTCTCCCTCACTCTCTCTCTCTCTCTGCCTCTAATCAACCACCCCCTCTTCGCTCCTTCTCTCCTGGCGTTTTCCGTCTTCCTTCGTCCCTCCCCTTCCCTTCTTCCCATTCTCCCTCGTTATCCCCTTCTTCTTTTTGCAGGGCCCACACCAATTCCAATGGCGGGCACATGTACGCCCACGAATAATTGTCCGCCCGTTCAGGTTTGCCCGCCTGTCTAAGCCCGCCGCCCCCCCGCAAAGAGAACGAGTCCCCCCAAAGCGGGTGTGATCGAAGACAAAAAGCGGGTATCGAGGGGGTGGGGGATTCGTTTTGAATAACACGCGAGCGCGTAAGAGTGAACAGTCTTATAATGATTGTTGTTCTTGTTGTTGTTGCTGCTGTAAGGCACCCTTGTGGTCATGACTGAATCCGCCTCGAAGGTGTGGGCCATATCGGGACTGGGATGACTGGCTTGGGGATGCTACGACGGCATTTGTGTGCAGATTTTGGGCATCCATTGGTCCCCAGGACTGCCAGAAAAAAGGACGACCTGGGATGAACAACTGGTCTCAGGGATATGGTCGAAAACGCCGGGGGCCAACAGGGTAAAGAAACT